TTCAGCTCTTGTGTTCACCATCCAAACTTTGTGTTGTGTGCTTTACAATCATGGAAACTAATGGTGTAGTCAGCCCCAACCACTGTCTTGTTCCTGCCTGGGAAAGTGAAATTTTATGTTTTCCGTAAGGACCGGATGAGAAAGCATCTCAGGGTCTATGCCCGAATTGGACATCTCGTTGTACAGCGTGTTTGCTGCCACTAGGTAGCCTGACCTGCTTGGCGGTGCAGCGGGACGGCTTTGACATGAGGAGGGCCCTGGCTGTTTCCTTTGTCGCCAGGAAAATCCTACCAAATGGAAAACCCCTGCCTCCCAGCCCCCAATAATCTTCTAAACAAAACACAATCCCTATGGGAAAAGGGAAAAAAGAGAACAAAAATCCAACCCACAAAACAATAGACAAGACAGAGCCCAGCACAGTGCCACACTGCTGTACATTAGGGTTTTGTTTTGTTCTTTTCTCCTTGCCCCAACTGAAGGGATAAAAGGGCATCATAATTTTGTTTTCAAATGTGTTTAAGAACCTGTTATTAAAATAGAATTAAACCCCAGTCCCGGGGCAGCGGCTCACGGCTACTGGGAGATCATCTCGATAATGCGATTAGCAGCTGCCTTGTGAACCGGGGAGCCAAGAGGAGAGAAGCAGGGAGGTGAAGCCCAGGCTCAGGCGTCGCTGCCGCCGTGGCCTGAGCACCCTGGTTCCCCCGGGCCGGGCAGCCAGTTGACTGTACTTGGGCATGAGCATTAGGGGCCACAGGGGACCCCAGCTGTGGGCTGCCCAGGTGTGCAGGGGACTCAAGGTGCACATGTTTGCTGCTCCTGCCCCAGATACACTTGTGTGCACACACACGCTCGCACACACGCACACAGGCACGCGTACCTACACACTCAGAGATGAATGCAGTAACCTCTTGGTGTCATGGAGCAGGGAAGCTGCGATTGGGATCAGAACCAGGGGAGCTGTTGGCAGAGCCTCACTCTCTACCGTCCACACCTACAGGGCTGGGTGCTGGGAACTGAAGTGCAGAAACCAAATCAGTTGGAAAACTGACCCCGCGCCCACCCCGCCCCACAGCGGGCAAACCAGATGGTGGGAATGCACTCTGCGGGTGGCCTCTGAGGGCTGGCGAATGTCCAGGCCCGCGAGGTTCCCGGCGGTGCAGTTCCATCCTCTGCACCACCCGGGGGCCTCTGAAGCTGTGGAATGCCACTGTAGGTGACAGAGATGGAAGGAAGGAGAGAAGGGCGCCCAGGGGGCACTGAGCCTCTTAAACAGGTCTCATGTCCATGCCACTCATACTCCACAAGGAGGCTCCCTGTTTGCAGATGGGGAGCGGACAGCTGAGTGATTCTCAGGCCCACAGAAGGGAGGGATGATTCGGAGTGCCAGAGCAGGGACAAGGGTGACGTGGACCCCTCCGAGAGGGCTCTGCAGTGCTCCCAGCCAGCTCAGCCACCCATTTTTGTCGTAGGCAGGTTCCCCCTACAGAGGCAGGGTCTGAGGCTCCGGGAGCCTCCTGGCTGTGCTGCAGCTCCCCAGTCCTTCCCTTGCGACCAGAGATTGTGGTGGGTCACATGGAAATGAGTCAGCTTGGCGAGGTTCCAATGACGCTATTTACAAACACAGGTGACAGGTCACAGTTTGCTGACCCCGGTTCCCTGGTTAAAGTGTGCAGCTGCCAGGCACAGTGGTGCACGCCTGCGACCCTAGCACTGGCAGGCTGAGGCGAGAGGACTGAAAGTTCAAACCCAGTGTGGGAAACTCAGAAACCTAGCAAGATCCCATCTCAGAAAGTGCAAAGGCCCTGGTTTCATCCCTAATTTAAAAAAAAAGTGTGGTTGCTGAAAGCACCGGGCCTGGGTAGAATCACAGCCTCCCCACCTACGAACTTTACTGTAGTGCAGGCTGTGTGATTCTGAGGAATGCTCCTTACCTCCCTGAGGCCTGGTTTCTGCATCTACAAAGTGAGTCTGCAACCACATCTACCTCTTACCCGAGTATACAGGCGCCTGAGGTTGGGAAGGAGAGAGAGAAGGCTCCCAGGTGAGGGGACAGCTCCATCAGTGTCACTGTCCCCTGTCCCCCAGGAGCAGGCCTTAGCCAGATGGCAGCAGCATCCTGTGAGTGACAGCCCTGTTACTCAGGTGCACACAAGGTGTCAGCTTGGGTCCATGCGCTGCTGATGCCAGGGAGCTTTTGCTGGGAACCTGTCATCCCTTCTCCGGGCGTGTTTGGGTGATTGAACAGCTGTTGTCCTCAGGTGGACAAGAGGTGGCACACCAGGTCCCAGGCCTGTTTGTGGGAGCTCTTCCCTCATTTCCACAGGCTTTTTGTTCTTACAAAATTTCTCATGTTCCTCGTGCAGTTACATTAAGCCATGGTCCCTGCATCTTTCTTTTGGTGGTGGTGGGGCGTGTGTGTGTGTGTGTGTGTGTGCTCGTGCATGCACGTGCACGCACACAAGCATGTGCATCATGTTTTGGGGACGAGGAGTGGGCATTTCACAAGTAGTACTTCTTCCCCTCTCTTACTCTCTCCACTTCTCTACGGATGATGCTGTTTACTGAGCACCTACCAAGTGCCAAGTCCTGAGCTGGTGCCTTCCACCCATCGTTGGCCAACACTTGGAGATTCGTTTAGCAGAGCGTGTGAGCCCTTCCTTGTCCTGTCTGCATGTGATGAAATCGCCCAGCGAGGAAGGCAGCTCGGCCGTCTGAGACCACACAGGTCAGGGATGGGGCCTGTGGCGCTGGGCACAGGCCCGTGGGGCACAGACCCTCCCTCTTTCTTGTTCGCCGCTTGTCCCCACCCCAGAGCTGTCCTCTGCGGGACCAGTGTTCAGATTGTTTTCTCAAAAAAATCTGCCTTTCTGAGTAGAGTTCGATAGTAGAGTCGAGGTCAAAGGACACCAAAATAGCTCATGTCCACTTCTTACAGGAAAATGGGTTACGTTCACTGCCACACACCAGGAAGTGGCAGGTGTGGACAGGGCTGGGCAGAGGAACTAGAACCCTCCCGTGCTCTTGGAGGGAGTGGGAAACCACACAGCTGTCATCCAGCGCAGTAAAATGGGCAGTGAAACCGTAAGCAGGGAGTTGCCCGTACCACCTGGCAGGTCCACACCCGGGTAAATACAGTACTCAGAAGTCTTAGGAGAAAAGTCTTTAAGAGAAATGTGCATGCATTTGTTCATTATTTTAATGGCAGAAGGAAAAAAGGAGAGGACAGGAAAGGAAAGGTCTATCAACCACAAATAAATAGACAAAAAGTGACCTGTACCTACTCTGGAATGTCATTCATCCTCAAACAGGAAGGACTCTGACAAGTCTCGGGGACATTATGAGAAATAATCCAGTCACAGAAAGGCAAAGAATGTGTGATTCCACTTATCTGAGGGATCTAGAGTAGTCCGATCCATGGAGCTAGAAAATAGGGTGGGAGTTGCCGGGGGCAACAGTCTTGATATCAGTTTAGTCAGCCTTTTGCTTAAATTTTGAAAAAGCAGTGATTCCTGCCCGGGTGTGTGTGTTGGACTCTTCTGGTGAGCATGTTAAAAGACAGTTGCTACTTTGTGAGTCTGTCAGTACAGGGCTGATTCCTTACCACAGTCCAGATCTGCACTGTCGTGGGCCCCAGAACCTGCATTTTTACCAGGGTTCTACGGTGACTCAGAAGCAGCCAGCCAGTGTGGAGAATCCCCAGCCCAAGCATCCCTCTGCCCAGGCACAGGACCGGCGCTGTGTCCTTTGCCGAGCTTTAGGGACTGATTGCATTTCCCGGGTGCTCCACTGAGCTAGCAGAGTGGCCCTGGGTATACAGGTGCTGTGCCCAGAGCTGTGACAAATCCCTCTGCATCATGCCACCAGCTACTCAGGGCCCTGTGGGCAGCAGGGTGCTCAAGTGAGCCGGGACACAGCGGACAGGACTGTCATCTCCTGGGGATCTCTCAACCTGGCCAGAAGCTGCCTTTTTAAATTATTGTGATTGCATTGAGAATGTGTTATCATTGTTCACTCGGCATCCTTTTCATCCTGTGGAATCGGTTGGCATCAAAGGGATGGCATTTATTGACTCTGCTGATAGAGCGATTGATGAATAAGTTATGTAACGGTTTCACTCCCCCATTGCAATCAATTATTTAGGTGCTGCACATTTATATTTGCTGTCAAGAAGCCCAATGTCTCCAGAGTCAACCTTCAGTTGCTGGTCAGGGTTGGGTCAGGCCAGGGAGCAGGAGCTGCCACAGCTCCATGCAGCCCTGTTGTGTGAAAGCCCATGGCCACCTCGTGAGGGTAAAAGCCAGCCTCGTTCTGCCAAAGGTTGAAGCCACCACTGAGGTCCAAAAGTTTCCTTTTCCTTTGGCATTTTGGGGGCTGCAGTAGGAAAAGGTTTGCAGCAAAAGAAATCTACAGATTCAGGATTTGGGGAGTGGAGTGTGATTGTTCCCATTTCTGCTTATGCAATTGTGTGCCATTCTCCTGGGGCCACCGTAACAAACTACCACCAACCGAATGGGCTAAAACAACAGAAATTTCTCTGCTCTCCATTCCGGAAGGCAGAAGTACAGAATCGGGGGTCAGCAAGGCCAAGGGCCCTCTGGGGCTCTGGGCGAGGGTTTCCTCCTAGCCGCTGAGCCCCCAGCTGCTCCCTGGTTGTAGCCTCATCCCTCTCCTCTCCACCTCTGCCTCAGTTGCTGTCTTCACATGGTCTTCTTCTCCCTGTGTCCCTCTGCACCGCCCCCCAAATCCAGGACGGTTTCATCTCGAGATCCTTAACTAACTGCTTCTGCAAAGACCCTGTTCCCAAGTAAAAGCCCCATTCTGGGACTGCGGGGAAGTGAATTTTGGAGACGCTGCCCACCCACCACGGACGTCACCCATCCACTGTGACATCAGAGACAGGGAAGGGAAGGAGCTCACAGAAACCTCTGTGAGGTGGTCAGAGAGGGCTCCGTCCTGGGCTCCCCTCAAGTGTGGCCTTTCCGAAAGCTTGGAGTCGCCCCACTGAGGAGACGTTGAGGAGGTTCCCCTCCCACTCGTGACCACTTTGCCCTCTTTCTCGAGCACACAGAAGTGGAGGCTAAATTGCCATGTAGCGGGAACATTAGAGAGCTCTGTGTTCCCTTAACCACACTCCTCTGGTTCCACCTTGGAGGGGCCGAGCTGGTCCACCACGGGGGGACCCTGGATGCGTTGCGAGTCCCCAGTCAGTCTGGCTGTGTTTTATCTGAACAAAACGTCTGACTTTAACCCCAGGCGGATTTCTCTTCGGGTTGTAATTATTCCGGAACAAACAGAGAAAATAGGAAGGTGCGTCCCCCTGGGAACGGTGCCTCCTGTATGGAAGGGTTCCCACCGGAAATCTTCAAAACGTGGTGTTCTTATATTGATCCAGATAAATGCCTGCCGCCGTCCAGCTTCCCCTGTTACATGTAGATGAGTTCTCAAAACAAAACAGGGGCTAAATGGATGAAAATAGAGATTTCACTTCCAGATTGGAAGCCATTCCATACAACTCTCGGAGATCAAATTACTCCTTGAAACCAGACCAGAGCAAAATCCTAACTCTCTACACTGAGCACCTTAAATCCCCTCCATCTTCCTTGGGAAAATGAAAATCTGCACGCTCCAGTCACAGGAATGAACTCTCACGTGACCGATGTGCAGGTGAGGAGATAAGAGGGGGCACCGATCCTGCTGCGGCTTCCAGATGCTCTTGTGGCCCCAGAGAGATTCGTCCGCACCTTGAATGCATTCCTTAGTCAACAAGAAGGAAAATGGGGTGGGGAGGTGGGAAGGATCAAAGTCTCCGAGAAGCTCAGCGGCCTCGTGTGCCGTTTCCTTTCCGGTAAATAGAGCAGTGCTGAATGAAAATGTCCACATGTGGCCCCTCACTCTGGCCTGTACGTGGGAGCCCAACACTGCCTCTCTGAAGCCTCTCCACATCCACCAGGGGTGAGTCCATAGCGGCTCAGTGACTGTCCTGTCCTGAGTCTGTCAGGTCTTCCCAGCTGTCCACGACAGGGACCTCCGCCTGCTCATTAGCTCAGTACTGCTGCTTTTGGGGTCCAGCTCCTTTCCCCCACGCTTGAAAGTGAAACGAAGCGGCCTGGGTTCCTCTGATTTCTTCTGTGAAATCCTTGGGGCCCTGGAAACCCATGTGGCCACTTGGAGGGGACTCTGTCGGTCTTCCCAGGCAGCCGCCAGTCCCCTGTAGTGCCATTTTGTTTCCCTTTCCTGAGACAGAAGGAGAGGACACCAGGCATACTGGAGCTGTGGTGGTGGACAGCAGGCCCTGAGTTATTCACGGGCTACGCTTGGGTTAAGGAGTTACATCTACAGAGACCCCGTGTCTTGGCCAGTTGGCATTCTGGGCCATCAGCCGCACTCGCCGAACCCCACCGGGAGTCGGGCCACCATTCCTTGTCCCTGTCATCTCACAGGGTGCTGTCACCACGTGACGCCTCCATGGTGGGGACCTCATGAGGTGCTCACGAGAACTACTGTGAAGTGGCCAGAGGAGGAATTTTGGCCCCGTAGATGACAGAAAGAAGCTGTGGGTGGCCAAAAGCTGTGACCTCCAAAGTCACTTTGCCCCACCTCTCTCCCTGTGGACAGTCTGGTGGCCCTGAGAAAGGGCTGGCCCTTGTCCCTCCCACCAAGCACACCTGGGTAAAGGCCCAGATCCTTCTTTCATGTTTCCTGTTTTTTCCTCCTTGGTCCCTGCCTGCCTGTCTCACTTCCTGTCTCATCTTCTTTACAAAACAGAAGGAATGGCCTCCTCCCTTCTCTCCCATGCTCGTGGTGCCTCCTAAAATTCTGGCTGAAGTTGCTCACCCCAGCCAAGGTGAAGGTGATAGCTTGTCACAGGAATTCAGAGGCAAGCGTCTTCTCCCCTTCTATGCCGTGTGTCTTACACCTCTTATTTTTGAAAAGCCAAATCACAGAATAGGCGCGTGCTAACCGCGGGAAGCTGGCTGCAGCACAGGCCACCAGGCCTGAGTTTGTAACTGTAATCTGTTATGTATTTAAAAGGAGTTTGTGTCTGAAATTTTCTTCTCAGAGCAGAAGGCATGCGGAGACCCCGGAGACCCTCTCAGACAGAGAACATTTATCATACACATGGACAAAGGGGGATTTTTCAAAGATTTATGTTCTTGGGAAATATCTTTTAGCAAGGAATTTCTTTTATTGCTGGGGAATGACGGGAAATTGTGAAGGCAGTTGGGACCTGTTTTCAGGGTGGGCGGCAAGGAGCCCTGCCTGGGGTGTGTCCATGGCTCACCTCTACCCCCAACTTGGGAAGCTCTCCCTTTCCCCAAGAGATTTGGTGAGAATCTCCCATCTGCTTAGGGTCACTTTTGTGGTGGCTTAGTCACTTTCCTCATTGCTAGGACACAATACCTGATGCCTACAACTTGAAGGAGGAAAGGTTTGTTTTGGCTCACACTTTCCAAGTCTCCAAGCTTGCATGGTTGGCTGCTGGCTCCAGGCAAAAGCAGCATGGCAGGCAGGAAGCAGAGAGATCAACGGAGGATCCAGGAAGGGACAGATAACTTTCTAGGTCACACCTACGGTGACTACCTCTTCCCATTAGACCCTGCTTCCTAACAGCAAATCGCTATGCCACCCCCATAATCCAGGCACCTTTCAAACACATGAGGCTTTGGGGGCCATTTTAGATCTAAACGGTAGCAGGCAGCCATTTTGAACAGACCCAAAGGCCTGCAGGTGATATTCAGAGCTTCAGCTGCTGTTACTTCTGGGTTACTGGCTTCCTCATCTTGGAACCACCCAGGGACACGGACTTGGGAGAGCAGTAGGTTTATTGGAAGCAACACGTGTGAAAGGAAAGGTGGGGGAAGTGGGATAACTCAGATCACCAGGAGACCTAAGAAAGTGCAGCCAGGCTCCGGCGGGGTTGGGGGGCACTAGGGTACAGATATCCCATGAGGAGAAGAGCAGCTTGAAGCAGGCTGTCGAGGTGCTGATTTCCCTCTCTCTCCTACCTTGAATCTCAGCAGGAGGCAGTTTGGCCCCCAGGGATCTTTGGCAAGATCTGCAGTCATTCCCGATTGTCCGAACCAGGCAGGGTGCTATTAGCTTCTAGTGAGTAGAGGTCAGAGGATCCACTGAGCACCCCACAACTGACAAGATGATCCCCTCCCAGCAAAGTTCCGGCCCCAAATGTCCACAGTGTTGAGGCCAAGGAATCCTGCTCTGATCCAGCCCTTCCGTGTTCAGATAATAGACCTGAGGCCCTAAGAACTTGGTCTTCACCATTCAGACCTCTCTTGGCTGACTCTATCCATGGGGCATTTATGTGTTTGTCTGGAAATAGTTTAGTGCAGTGGTGAGGAAGTAGGGCACGCGTGCCACAGCCAGCTGTTTGGTATCATGGAAAACTTTAAAAGGTTCGCCATCACCAGTTTAATGCTTTGGAAAACCGGCCAACTTTTCCTGGATACCACAGGTCTGATGGAGGCTCTGTAGCAGTATGCTCGTGGCCATAGAACGATTATCGTTGGGGCCGGGGATGTAGCTCAGTGGTTCCGCCACCTGCCTCACAAGTGCAAGGTCCTGAGTTCGATCCCTGGTGCCAAAAAGAAGGAACGATTATTGTTGACTTGAGGATTCACCTAGGTATTCTTAAAAAGATGACAGTCATAAGATGTCACCTCTTACAAGATGGTGGCAGACTGGGGGCCCCTAGTGGATCTGGTCTACCTAGGTGCTCTGTCTGGCTGCTGATTTTCCTTCTTCTGTCCCTTCCTCCTCCACTTCTTTCCTTCCTTCCTCTCTTCAAATCTCTTTAGGCAAGAATTTAGATGCTGTCATGCATTGCAAGCCACCTCGTCCTCCCAGGATATATTTCATCTTTATCAACCCCAGCCGGCCTTACCAGTTCCTGAAGGCATTGGCGTCTCTGGCTCCCCACTGAACACCATGGAGTCTAAAACCTCAGGAATTCAAAAGTCTTGTGAGCACTGATCCCCAGGTCTGGCTTCAGGGATTGGGGGCTGGTAATCTGCACTTTGCCTTTCCAGCAAGTGTTAGGAGACACTGAGCTGCTGCACCAGGAGCCATACTTTGAGAACTGCTGATTCACATCAGACTCGCCTAGGAATCCAGCTAAAAACCAAGTTGCTGTGACTTCACCCCTCACACTCTGTCTCAGTGGATATGGGGAGGACCCACGCATAATCCCTCAGATGGTTCTGATCCAGAGTCCATGAGTGGTGCTGGACCAGTTCCTTCCAGATATTGCTGGTGCATGTGAACCACTCACGTGTCTTGGTCTGGGCTGAAGGCCTGGGACTCTGACAAGTCCCCAGGTGATACTTGGCTTCCTATGTACACCTTGAACAACAAGGGATGGACCCGTGGTTTTCAGCCTGGGGTGATTTGGGCCCTCTTTGGGGGGACATCTGGCAAAGCCTAGGACACACTTAGCTGTCACAGAGGGTGTTGGGAGCAGTTCTGCTGGCATTTACTGGGTGGAGACCAGAGATGCAGCCACCACTCCAGGGTGCACAAGAAAAATAAAGAATTCTCTACCCCAAGTCACACTAGTGCTTGGGGAGGAGCCCTGGGGTGGACAAAGGCCCTGAGAAAGTGGCTGACACTAAGAAGGAACCACATGATCGGCCAAAGCTTCCTGGAGAGGGGACGTGAAACTCAGCAAGTCACCCAATACTAGCTACTTCTGGGCAGCAGGGCCGATGTACAATTAGAGGCTTCAACCCTCTTCTGATATCTCCTACCCCTCATTTTTGCTTTATTCTTTCTCTAGAGCCCATGCTGCTATGTGCTACATATTCTACTTATGTGTCTTGTCTACAATCTGTTTCCTGAACTAGAATGGAAACTCCAGAATGGCAGGGACCTTCTGAACCGGAAAAAAAGTCTTCTCACTTCCATATCTGCAGCACTGAAGACAATGCCTGTCCTATAGTAGGTGCTTAGTCAATAATTGCTAGATGAATAAGGGGCATGGAGGTCCTCGGAGAAGCAGGAGGCTGTGCTGAATGCAGCCTGCACGATGGCAGGACTGTTGTTTATGTGGTCATTCTTTCACTCCCCAAACACAAAACATGCATTAGATCAGCTCCCTGGACACAAACCCTAGCTCTGTCTGGGAGTTCTCGGCCACTATTTCCCTGTCCTTTTGGATATTCAGAGAGTGCAGTATGAATGGTTTTCCCTAATGGACAAAGAGCTCCTTTTCTTCTTTCTCTTTACTTTTGCATTGCTTGAAGCATCCTCATTTCATGATGCTAGGGAAGAAATGTCCATCCACAAAGAGACGTGAAAATGACAACAGATGTCTGTATCTCCTCTTAATTCACTGCTTTTCTTGTCCTTTTTTTTTTTTCCTACCTCATTTCCACGCAGAAAGTTCTTGCCCTGTATTTTCTGAAAATTAGAAAATCAGGCCCTTAATTTGTGTGTCTGCAGTTGCCGGAGAGCCTGGATTCAAAGGCGCTCCTGCAGGCTCCCTCACCCCGTTGGTGCGTCTGTGGGGGCCTCTGTGTTACCCTCTTCCGAGAGAACAATGAAGAACGTCTTCTAATTATTGTTGGCTTTTCCTTCCCACAGAGCCTGGCCAGCCTAAAAACGAATGTCCCTGCCTGAGAATTTTGTCCTGATTTTCTTTGGGAAGACACATGGTCCCCACAGGGTTATTTAGGAAGCAGGAGCTTCCTGACTCCATGACTTCACAGAGGGCGGCCCCAGGGGTTCCTTTGCATCCCCTCTGCTGCTGGGAACAAAAGGCTGCCTTGCTCCCGCCTTCCCTTCACGGTTCACTCTTTGGTTCACTTCCTCCAAATGGAGTGGCAGCTTGCAAAGACAGAGAAGACAAAGTTAGGCTTCCTCTCCACTGTCCCGGGGTGAGATGGGCACAGGTCATTGTCACATCGAGACAAGGGGAAGCCTTTGAACGCGGGGTGGTCCCGGCCCTCCCTTGGCACAGGTCAGTCCCATAGCTGTTTGGCTTTTTCTGAGTCCCAGGCCGAGGATCTTTGAAAGCTGTCATTTTAGATCACGCCCCGAGAGTCGGTCCTTCACTCTCTGGCTGTGTCCGGGGAATCGCTTGCCTATATCCAGGTGCTTTGGTACAGGGGGCAGCGAGGCTCTTTGACAAGGTTAAGCCACACAGTTCATTGAAAGCTGCCTGCAGGCTCACGGAATCTGCAAGCACCCAGAGCACAGGGCTCGCTGGGCCCAGGATCTGCCCACTGCCTGTCTCTTCCAGCCACAAGTGTCTACCTCAGAGTCCAACTTGGGCGCAGTCTGGCTGTGGGAAACCAGGCCACCTGCAAAGAAAGGCTGAGCAAGAAAGTTTCCAGCTTCTAATTTGGAAAGATGTGGGCTGATGAGATGTGGAATTTCAGAAACACACAAAAAAAGTGCCCCGTGTTCAGCACAGCCCAAGAATTTGAGGTGCCCAAGCCTATAGGCAAGGCTTTCCCTGAATCTCCACATTCTGGGGAACAGGAGCTTGCAGGGCGGGGAGTTCTTAGATGGAGGCCCCTCAGAGATTTGTCTTGGTCACTTGTTTTCCACCACAGGCGGAACGAGCTAAGCTGACCTGCATTTTCTCAGCCCTTCGGGTCCTTGGCTGAAGATGCACTCTGCAGGCACTGACCAGGGCATACGTGGGCGGAGGGCTCATATCCATGACTTTAGCCCCCAACAGAACCCACCCACCAGGAGATGGCTTCAGAGTAGTGCTGCTCTGGGCCTGCGTTTCCTTCCTGGAGGCAGCAATCACAGGCAAGCAGTTTGTTTAGGAAAACCCTAAATCCAGAAAGTCAAGAGGAAAGATCCTTCAAGAGCCTCAGGACAAGTCCCTGCATTGCATAGCAGGAGAAGCA